GGCAAGTGAGTCTGACCTGGCAGGGATTCACACAAACGCATTGCGAGAGACTTGCAGGTGAACCTTCAAAATCTTCGTTGGGTCTTGCCTGACGGACAGTTGTTGGCCTCGATCTGCAGGGCAAGTCCGCTGGCCACCATTGCGGATTTGGCTCGACCACAAACCTCAGGGACCCGGGAAGAAGCGCTTCACATTGGGCTTGCTTTGGTCTCAACAGCCTCCACTTCAACTTGACGCTGCCCCTTAGCCCAATAGACCCCCCGGGATTGAAATAGATCCCCTTAGCTCGTGGTAAGGATCGCTCGTTGCAGTGATCGACTGCTGAGAAAAGCCCTCAATGGCTTGCCTGCGAAATCGTGGGTTGAGAGGCTCCTTCTGCGGATGTCGTTATCCGTCATGAAGCAAAGCAGCAATCACTCAGTGCAACGGCCGTGTGCTTCTCCGCCACTTCTCAGATCTTCAGGATCTTCAGGAACACTGTAGGTGGTGGGTCACACTGCCACCTCATGGAGTCTTTGAGACTCATGTCTTTCCGAATCGGCTCGGCTCGGTCGCAGCGATACACGATGCGAAGCGGTGCGGGTTCAACCGAAAGCGGCGCCCAGTCCGTGGTCGTCACCTCTGGTCACCTGTGGTCACCTGTCGCCAGGATTTGAGCTCACCTACTCCAACAAGCAGAAGTACCGTCCCTTGGAACCGTGTTACGCCCCGCTGCGTCGGGCGCTGCAGCTAGGGCACTGTGCAGGGCCGAGTCACTGGTTCACCCTCTTAGAGTGATTTGAAAGGTGGAACTTGGTGGGCCATGGTTTTTGTTTGGTTGTTCTTTCTTTGTTTCTTTGGGGGATCCTTTTCTAGGGGTGTTTTCGATCGTTTGAGGTTGGTGAAGTATCAGTTGTGAGCGCAAGTGGCATAGGCTTAAACTATAGATGCAGAGTTGTCAGCTATCTGAAGACACATAAGGAAAGTAACCATCATCATGGAGTTCCAAGTGTAGGTGTTATTCACACCGCTTTATAGATCACTTCTCTGTGAATTCAAATCCATTCCCATCTCACTTCATCTCAGTCAACCACCCTGGTACTCCTGGTAACGAGTCAGCATGAGCAAAGCCCTTGGAAGGAGCGTCGCCCAGCACTATTAAGCCCGTAGTGTCACCTATAACACTTGCTGAGGAACTGCAAGACTCAATGATCACCACCTCTCACATCCTCATCCTGTTGACCTGGTTCGACCGCCGATGACGAGGTTGGAAACACCACCGACAAAACGTGTTGAAACCGGTCAAAACGTGTGAAATACCCGAGAAGAGTCGGTAGGCCCGGTATGGAGCTATTGGCATCCCTCCCAAACACCCTGGCGGACGTCCGGCGGACTTCCTGAGGAGTCCATGGCCTGGACTTCCGACAGGCGGCTGAGAGAGGGGAAGGATGGGAGCCCAACCGACTGGAATTGAAGAAACATAGAGTACATATGAGTACATAAGGGAAACACATATTTTGTTGTATGGAAATGTATAAATAATGAAATCTGTGTCAAAAGTTGTTTGAGACTTTATGAGTTCCCCCCCCAAAGAAAATCCCACATAAAAATAGAAACAAAGTCCTGCTGGAAGATTCTGACTCGAAGTGGCCGAATTTCACGCTGAGAGTGATCATGTTTGATCCGTCGGATGTGTCGTGGCAATGGAACAATTGAACTGACTGAGTCTTGTGAATGCCGTAAATTCAGTGTCAGGAAGATGGCACTTCATCCAACTGTTTGTCGGTCCCCAACAATAGAATGATCAGCCAAGGAGAGTGATGGGGGGGCCTTGGGTGGATTCTATTGTTAGCGCTGCATCCATTTGTTGACATGTCGACGAGATGTCGACCATTGCCATGCGTGGACCACTCCGCTTATTCTCAAATACACCAGTACCTTGCAGGGAACCACATGCCAGAATCCAGGCCAGTTTCTAATCAAAGTCTTCAGGCCTTTATGATGATCATCCATTAGATCATGCAGTCATTGTGGTGGAGGAAGAAGAAGAAGGGAGCGGCTTTTCACCAACGATTGTTTTCGGAGAACTGGAGCGGACCCCGTGCGCCCCCTGTGGGCATTGGCCTCCTTTGCCCAGGGCGTGGGAGTAGCACGACTCAAGGGCTGCAAGGCTTCCTTAGCGGCTCGGAGGTGATTTCCAGACGGAAGACGGACATGTTCTTCTAAGATTCTAAGACTAAGCAGGGGGTGAACTCCACTGATTTGGGGAAGCAGTCTCTTTTTGCTTGATATTATATAAACAGATTTATATACTGTAGTCAATTACAGCAGCTTTGAGGAGGACCCAGTATAGGGCTCATCTTTCTTCCAGAGGCTCCAGGGAATCCATTTTGGGACAACACTTCTCCTCAGTGTTTTGGCTTTGCACAACGAATATCGATCGATGCTCAATCCAATTCATCTCATGGGTTGGGTGTGGCCCCAGATGTGTGCTGACAACTGTTTGCTTGCTTCCTCACCGCCAAGGCCAATCGAGTCAGCAAGGCAGATATGCAGAGGTGTCGAGGGTGGGTTTGGACATTTGGCCTGGAGGTTGCGAGACTCCCAGTTGCCGTGGCTGCTTGTTGACTTTTCACGTACACACGGCACACATTATCTCTCTTTCTATCTCTCATATTCGCTGTACTTGCTATCCAACAATCATGGAAGTACAAGTAGAATGAAGTAGAGAGAATGGCCCATTCAACTAATACAAAAGAATACTTTCCCCTATAGAACTCAGGTTCTTGTCCATCCCAAAACACCGGAAACACCGGGGAAACGTCCGTGTCTCCGTCGCGTGTTGACTCCTGTGACCTGAGACCGGTTCCTGACCTGACGCGCCAGGTTCCTCGATTCCATTCCACGAGTCAAGGGGAAGTTCGAGCATGAGCTGCAATTCTCCTTCATTCAGGCGAGGGGAGTGGTGAGGGGACTTCAGGGACCTCAGGTGAGATGGCAGCGACTAAGAAGGACTTGGCAGGGCCACGGTCCACGCGTAGGCGTCAGCTAGGCCGGGGTCTGCGGATACTAATATATTATACTAATTAGTATATTGTCATATATTGACGATCCAGAAACTAAGGTGTTGCAACTTGCTGTCAATTGGCAGTTTCTGTTGGTGTTTGGTTTTGATGCATACAAAAGTCCTTTTGTCGGAGCTTTTGCTGCCTGTGTGCGTACTGCAGAAGCTTCTCCCGCCCCTGTTTCGAGCCGGGTCTTCGCAGACCTGGTCATGTGTTTCGCTGGCTGCTTCGCCGTGCAGGAAAATGTGGCCTTGGTGCCCGAAGATGACATTTTTGCTGGCAACAACCAGGTGGGGAGAAAGAGTCGACAAGTGTTGAGCATCCTTTTACACGGAAGATGAAGGTCATAAAGAGAGTTGGTTTCCTCTTATATACTGACTAAAAGAGAAACCTTAGCAACTGATGAATTCTATCCCAGACACCCCATGTACGGAAGATGGTTGCTTTAAAACCACCCTAACTGATCGGTAAAGATGCCAGTCCCATGTGTGCCACGGTCGGATGTGCCCAGATCTTCGCTGAGATGCGCAGCACCTTGCGCAGGCGGGCTGGGGTGAGACGGACCGCCGGTGGGAGACGCCACGGAGACCGGTTGGTGTGGAACTGGCAAGTCCTGACTCCCAGGGTGGTGGTTGATTGGGCAGCAAGTGGTAGCAAGCGTTCAAAGCACGGTCGTTCTGGAGCAGAAGATCGCACGAACAAAGGAGGAGAGATTGGAAAGTCCCTACGGAGTCATGGAGTGTTTGGGACGATTAGACGCAATCACCTGAGATGTGACACTAGAGCCACCAGAGTGGTGAACAGACCATGACAGACCCATACCCCCAGCACCAGACGTTCCATGAATGAAAGCAGTTCCATGTGGGGGTCCGATCCATGGAGGCTAGGCCAGGCCCCATGATCGGTTCACTGGGACGAGTCACACCACCCAGGCCCATGTGACTCCTGGAGAGCCTAAGACGGTCACATGGACCATCATGGACCCCTGAAACGGTTAGAAAGCTCGCATTCCATCCATGGAGTGTTTGAGAGATGGGCAGATTGTACCCCCAGCGAAGGACTGAGAGGAACCCACATGTCACGGGGTTGTGCACATGGAATGCCTATCAAGGCCATACAAGATGGGGGTGTATTCAAATAGGGAGACCCTCCCAGGCAACAGACCCAGAAGGATCAGAAAATAGATCCGTCTAGCCAGGGCCAGGGGGACCTCCTAGCATTGATACACCCATGATTATCATGCCATCAACCACTCGCCTTGTGAGTTTTTGCTTCGTCCCGGTTCGGGTGAGTGGGTGGCGGTACGGGACACTGGCTGGATGGATGTGAAAATGGGCGGCGCAGCTGGATGTCCAAGCGTTGGATGGACTCAGATCCGAGTGACGCAGGGAAACCAGGAATGTTTGTAGCTACACCGCGTAGCCATGCGTAGCTACTTACGGCTACGGCAAGGATGATTGGGATGGCCTTTGATCGTCTCATCGAAGATAAACTTTGTGGATGTCCTCTAATTGGACCATTGGATGGTAAACGCATGATTGGAGGCGGATCTACAAATCACCCTCTGAGTGGTGCTACGCGTAGTTGGGTTTATTCGTATGTAATCCCTACAGTCAACTACCACTCCGCAAAACAGGCGCCCGCCTCTTGTAGTCTATTGAAAAGACACGGTGCCAGTTCAAAGGCTCCACGAACCTTCGCTTTCTTCGACTCGCCTCGACAGCCCCCATCCAGGCAGATCCAAGCCGCGGCAGATCGCTTTGGCGTGAAGGGCTTGGAGGATCTGAGCCCCTCCTGACGCCTTCAACTGGACAAACAGCGCACACACGCGGTTTAGCGCCTGGCGCATGGCCAAAAGCGGCCGCGCGGTGAGAGAGCAAGTTCGGTGAGAGTGGGACCTCGCCGGTGGGGAGGAAGGTGGTGAAGGTGGTGAGGGGGAGAAGAGTCATGAAGAGCCCTGGCAAATGTGTGTGTATCCACGTGAAAGTTTTTGAGTTGTTTGGGGGGGAACCTTCCGTTGGAATTTGTTGGATGTTATTTATCTCTTTCATGCAGCCTTGGTGACTCACAACCGCCTCACACAGATTGCTGGCAGGTTTGAGTTAGGACGACTATAGTATAGCTTCTTAGATATTGTGAGGTTTTGCGACTTTGGGCCTAATTATGTTTAAGTGTATCATGATTCATTATCCTTTTGAGTGATATTATGTTTGACACATGTTTGAATCATTGGCATGATAAGATGTCCACCCAAATACAGTAGTATTCCAGACGTCCAAGACTGTTGATCAAGGGTTTCAGGTCCAAGCTTATCCATCAGAAACAGGCTACTGATATTTCTGTGGGGAGATGTTTCATGTGATGATGTTCCATTGTTTACATTAAGATGGGGAGATGTTCCACTCATCATGCAGTGGGGGGGTGCTTCACAGCAGCGAACGCGTCTGACATGACCTTCAGACGGTGCCATGCTGTGAACGGGGCTTCATGAGGACTGGTCCTGAATCAGTCCAGACCCAAGAGTTAGGAGCAAAGGAATGCAAAGAGACGATATAAAGAGGTGGGATGTGACAAAAAGGGAACTTGCTTGAAACTTGTCTGAAGGATTCAACGGAATTAGATTTTGGTCCATTCCTCAGAAGATCAAGCCAGATAGCTTGAGCGAGCCAAGCTCGGCAAGGCAGCTTTCTACTGGCGTTTTCGGCGGAAAAAGAAGCGGCATCCGGATGTTGTGGTCAGAATCAAAGCTTAACGAAAAGGATAGGAGTAGGAAGGGTGAAAGAATAATACAGCTCAATACCGGCTCAGTCGAAGTTGGCAGTGTGTGTGTGTGCGTGCGTGTTCCGTAGGATCATAAACATAGAAGCCTTCATGTGGCCCTCCGGCATGTAGGAAGTTGTCATCAATGGCTCGTGTCCGAAAAACGTCTCTTTGGCGCGTTGTGAAAGGACTAGGCGCAATCTAGTAAGACTGTTGATTTTTCATCCCCCCGTGCCATGAGTGGTTTTACATCTCCGCTACTGGGTGGTTTGATTCATCCACCATCTGGACGGGGAAGTGGCCCTTCACCCACGCAGGTGAAGTCGCAACTGGAGTCGCAGCAAAAGCGCCTTGACGACACCTCACCCGCCGCACGCGCCAAAACCGTTCGCGCGGCGACTCGTACATGTGGACTGCGACGAGCGTTCGGCCACAGCTTGAAGAGTGATCCCAGGTACCAAAAAGGATGTGTCGAAAACCAGATCTACAGTAAATCAATGTGTGATATGTTTTTGTGCATTTGTGTGTGTGTGATGTGATTGATTTCTGTGGTCCACAAACCACTGGAGACTTCAGGAGGCGGAACCAAGAATGGGAAGGCATTGATGTGGTGCAAGAGTTCACATGTTTGGCTTTATGTTTAGGTACAACCATCAGGGCATATCAGCCCTGGAGAAGTTCTAAATAGAAAGTGTCCACGGTCACTTTCAACTTCCTTGCCCGGGGTGGGGGAAGGAATCTAAGAAATCCACACGGCCCTGGTAGCCGTCCGCTCTGACTCCCTTGAAACCGTGAGCGCAACGAGAAGCCCCGTCCGCCCCTCGCCCCGTACCACGCCACGAGCGCCCGGCCGAGGATTGAAACCTGGCGCAACGAGAAGCAGACGCCGCGCTCCAGGGTCCAAACCGGGATGTGAGGACCTGGGTAGATCATGTGGAGGATCCCAAAACTCGGGGGGGTCCAAAGGGCACCCGAAAATGGTGGTGCCATGAGACTCATGAGACAGACACGATGATCCTACAAACTTATAAGATGCAGTCATGAGAGCAGCAGGAAAAAGCAGTGTCACCGGTGTAGCCAAAGTTCTGGCCGGTCTTGTGATGGTAACGAAAAGATGGTGTGGACTGCGAACATCACTAGTAAAGACATGGAAAGAAAGACAATATGCACCTCCAAATCTGCGAGGTTTGTATTTGCTTGGGAAACATGCCACGCCCAAGATTCCGAGTCTTGTTTGAGTCTATGCATTGTTCCATTCAGAAGCACCATTCATCACCAAGTCGACTTCCCAAGCATCCAATGTTTTGAGTCTTATCACCGCTATACTGCTTTTGATATCTCTTGATGACATTTGCCAACTATCATTCTCATCCCCGCACAATGTACAGATCGAGCCCGGCCGCCAGCAGCCCTCCACTGGGCTATCTGGGTATTCTGTGACTCACGCAACTGGTCTGCAAGTGCTTCGACGGTGTCTAACAGGTGTTCTCCTTGTGTCCGAGTCGATGGGCTTTTCGGAGGCGCCGGCGTGCTTTCGGGAGTGGTGATTTGCATGGTTTTCTGCAAACCAACCCGGATCATATGTGTGTCAAAAGGATCCATCCTGCGGATGAACATCCTGCGGATGTTTTGCTTTTGGCGAGAGGGGGAAAGTGGTCCGGTATAGAAACCTGATGACCCTGTCAGAATAAGGTAATGTATACAGAGGCTTTTTTGTTGACCCTCACGACTGTTCGATTGGCATCCAAGGGTCCAGGGAGATTCATAGTCTTCGCTGTTGGCTTCAGGGTGGAGACAACTTCTTGGAGGCAAGCCGGATGTACAGTTTGACTCATCTACGTAGTCGTTGATGTAATGCTATGTCAAGCTCATTGAAGTCCCAACCTTTTTCATTCTTTCTCCTTGCAACGAACATGGAAGTGGATGATGAGCCCCTTGGAATAACTGCTTTCCACTACTGACAGGCCGTTGTCCACTTCCATGATGCTGGGAGGGAGGCTCAAAACCTTCCTCTACCAACTCCCTCATGCCATGGCCCCACGTCAAGCCCAGCACCGGGTCGATCCGGGGCGGGAGGGTGGAACGAGCGAAGGGATTGGCTTTGAAAGAGGCAAAGGAGATGCTTTTGGAGGCAAAGGAATCAGATGAACACCAATGAACATTTCATTATATGTTCATCCTCAAACAGACGACCGTGGGCCCTCTCCACAGTTGTTTCTTTAAGCTGGCCTTGACAAGCTTTGAAACACATAACTGTGTGTCCTATTCCGGCAAGTGTTTTGTGTGGTCGTTGTCTTCTGCTTTCCAAGGCCAGAACCAGATAAGTGAACCGAGGATGGTGTTTTGACGCCGCAGTTTAGCTGCCCGCCAGCCATGTTCTCAAGATATACCAAACACCAACATAAAATTGGACATGATGTGTCGAATTTGATGGATATCTCCTGAGGGATCACCTGCATGGAGGAATTTATAGACATGGATTGATCGTTTTGATTTCTTTATATTGCACACATTCCCATTTCGGCAAACATACACAAACAATTTCCTTGTATCGTGATTATTTGATATTATTTGGAATTCGTGCTTTGAATAATTCAATATCAAATCTTAATTCATGATTAGAATCTCCAAAAGGAGAAATTGAACAAAAGAAAAACTCAATTAACATATTAATATATGATTATATGATATTTAGTAATTTTATATTAGTATTTGTTTCTATTTTAAAATAAGCTAAAATTGTTAAGAATATTATGTAATATAATTTGGATATATTTTATGTTAAAATTAGAATTATGAGAATAGAAAATAATATGGAATATAGTGTATTCGGTTTCGGGTGAAGGAAATTATGATTTTTTTAATTCGATTGAATATTAATATGGAATTGATATATCGATTTTTGTCTTTGAGATTATTGATTAAAAATATAATATTAAAGGAATTAAATAATATATTTTGAGAAATTGAATATTTCGTTCCGGTTTTTAAAAATTTTAATTATCTTCGATTTCTTTTGGGTTTGGATAATAATGATATTGGTTAAATAATTTTTTAAAGGATTCGATAGCTATTGAAGAGATTTTAATATTTCTATAGGATTAATTTTAATATATTGTTTAATTATTAGGATTTATATATATTTTTAAAATAATGGGATGATTTGTTTTTTAATGGAATTAATTGATACTAACATATAATGGTTTATTTTTTGATGGAATTAATTAATATTAACATATTATATTTTCGCCATTTTAGATATATTATTTGATTTGCTTTTGGATTAAATATTCAATGTTTTTTATATGAGATTATTGAGATGGTAGTATAATATTGTCGATTTATTTTTTGAATAATATTTAATATAGTAATTTAATAGGGATTACAAAATATATTGATATATATTTTATGGTTAAAATAATATAGTTATATTTATATTATTTCAATATTTTATTTTAAAACAATTATAGCTTATAAGAATTGATTTACCATTCGTATAAAAAAATACCATAGACTAATGCGGTCTTATGTAAGCACCCACAATTTACTTTTAGATTGAATATTTTCCGGATTTGATTGGTTTCCAAAATGTCTTTTCCCAAAATGGTGTATTTATCGCAAATCCGTGGGGATCCGCTTCTAAATCTCCTCTAAATTCCAACCACAATCAATCCACAGGGATATTAAGCATGAAGGCATGTCAACTGCAAAAATTATGAGAGGTATCTAACGCGGACCTTTTTAGGGGCCTGTTGAGCTGCTGGAGCTGTTGTTGTTGCTACTGCTGCTGCTGGACTTTCCCATTTTTGTTCTCAGAAATCTTTAGGACGACATAGGAAGGATGTAAGAATTGACTCAAAAGATTTGGGTGTTGCATGGGCAAATGGTCAAGAAATGGACCGTCGTCTCCCCCGGTGCTAGCGCGTATCTAGCGCCAACCTAGCGCAAAAATATCCGTCGATTTCTTTGTTCTGTCAGATTGTTATATTTCCTGCTTGCTTGTCTTCTTCTTTTTATTTTTCTCCTGCTTGCTTATCCTGTTATGAAGAAATCTAGCGCCAATCTAGCGTTGCCTTGCTGTATCATCATAGTCTGCTGGGGGCACGCATCTAAACGAAGACTTCAAAACCCATCTCCATTCTTAAAAATTTACGTTTATTTATTTTTTTTAAATAGGGCGTTTTGAATGCAATCCATTTGCA